CCGACGGCGGATTTATTGTAATTGTGCCGCGTGGTGTCAAGCAGGTATCGACAGACTGCTTTCGTCACCGTCTCTAGCGTAGGAAACGCTAACTAACTTAAGTAATATTGCTTCGAAGTCCTCACGTGCATCGTGCATCTCGACGCACGTGCACACGGCAAGTACAAGTCTAGTCTACTGCTGCTGCTGTGGGAAGGAATTGAACAGGGTTGGTTGTTCATTTTATTGTTGTAGTACGCCAAAGCTGGCTTGCTAGTGCTTTGAGTTCTCGAACATGCATGCATGCACATCTCACGAAAAACTGTAACAAGATTGTCTTCTGTAATACTAACTACTGTCAACGACGCTGTACAGTAGTTTTTTTGAAGATGCTACCGTATCCTCTGCACTCTACCGTATACAGGTGAACGGTAGAGAGTTTACGTACGTTTGATGTACAGTGTGTCACTACAACTACGAAGTACCCCGTCCGGTCTTTCACAGGTGAAGGTAGATATTTTTTATTGTTATTATTTGCCATCCGACAAGTATAGGTGTAGATATACACAAATCAACAAATACATCAAGTTTTAGTCGTCATGTTGTTGTTGTTGTTGTCTTCACATTAAACCGTATGTCAGTTGCCAAATGCCAAAATCTAGCAAAAGACTCTCAGCCCGTGGTCACGAAAGCGCTCGAGCCATCTGAGGATTTAAAGAACACGCACACATATAACGAGAAAAAGGTATCCAAGAGCCCGAAGAGGTACACCTTAAAATCCCTGCAGCACCGTATGCGTGCCCAAAAACTGAACTGCACGTCCGTCCCACCGTTCGACTACAGTAGCATCACCCCCTCCCTGTCCCACTCTATACCAAAACGGAAGATTGCCGACTACAGCATACTGCTGTCTGAAGTGCCGTCTGTACAAAAACACCATGGTAGGCATGGAACAAGCAGCTGGCGGGGCACAAAGCTGCTGTCTGAAGTGCTGTCAGAATGTGTCTGCGGCCGTACAGTGAAAAAGAACAACCAACCAAAGCCATCATTGCAGCAATTGACAATCACCCGAATCTCTCCCGATCGTCTGTGTTAGGCACTGCAGTGAAAAATATCGACACTAGCTAAGAATCGTTCCACATTGAAGGGGTCTTCCACGATCAGGCACAAAACCAATGCACCCGGGTTAGCCACGCCATCTCTGACGGGTCTCTCTACAAAACCGGTGACGACGTCATCACACAAAACCAACACGGAAAGTCAGAAAAAAAACGAAAAAAATTGACAACACAGATATAAATGTTTGTCCGTGCGCCACGGGTCGATGTCGCCCGCATGCTCCGGTGCCACTGCTCCATCCGGCGCCGCTGTAGTCAGCCCGAGCAAAACGCCACTCGACCTGCTCCGTCCGTACACGCTCTCGTTGCTGTCCTTCCCAGTCCGTTCCTCGCTTTCTCCCTCATTGCACTCAAGGTTCTTGGTCTGAAAAAAATAAAAATTCTCGCGCCGAATGGTCAACCAGCCTAGTTCAGCTCGTCGCCACCTGCTCCCTCCTCCTTTGATGGCGAAGCCAGGTTACTGAGGCAATACAGCTCCCTCTAGCAAACCTAGGGCCGTGTAGTGCCCGTCCACCTTTCTGATGGTGTCTGCCTCCGCGCACAAAAATGAGATGGGCATCACTGCCTACGCCGACGGCCAGAAAGGCCCGCGCATCTACATTTTCCCGCCTGACCCCATCAGTGCCGACCCAACTCCACCACCACACGCACGCCTCGCGGCGGATGCGCAGCAGCAAGAAGGTTTCGGTCATCCCTTGAGGGTGAGTCTAGCCCTGCTCGCCAGAAAGACCCCCCCCTTCGCTACAACCCATGTCTAAGCAAAAGCTTGTCGGGGAGCGAGGGGAAGAAGGGAGAGTTATACCACTATGTATTTATGCACATTTCCAGGATATCATAGGCATTTAGTGGAATACTTGAATATTTCCTGGGAGTTAGAAGTTAGTCGGCATAATCTAGAGCATGAAAGCATGACCTTTTCGTGGAATGTTTTGTTGGTCTGCATAAATCATAGATACAAGAGTGGGTTGGGTTCCCGGGTTGGTTGTGGAAGCAGACCTGCCTGCAACAACAACAGAGGATCCGGTGTCCTATTTATTTTCCCGCTCGACTTTTATATGTATTTTTTGCGACATGGTTGCATTTTTCTTTGTCACTGCGAAGACCGCTGGATGTTAACGCAGTCCATCTTTCGCATGTATCATTTTACACCGAACGACGCAGGACTCGTCGACCTTCATCATACCCACCGTCGACTTTCGTATCGACCAGACGCCGACTGTACATATCGTAGGAGTGTGGAGTTGGCTGTGTTGCGACGGAATCTTCCACGCACCCACTCCTCCTACCCGTCCGTGCTGGTTGTTGTTGTTGTTGTTGTTTCTCACATACCGCTCTCTATAGTCCACAAAAAATGGGGAGCCCGTGGTCTCAAAATCCGCTGGTGTGTCGATGGGAGTCTTGTACGTCGGGATACAGCAGCAGTGAAATTCTCGGGTTTTTTATGGAAGCAAGTTTGCCTACAACAACAACAGAAAAAAAATGCGTGCATGCATACACATATATATATATAAGTGTTTTTTTTCTCCCATCGTTGCGCTCTGTCGTCTGCCCCTCTGGCCCCTATCCTCCACAACTTCTACCAGCTAGGCAACCTAACCGGGGTCACATAGGAGGGGGGGGGTGGATCCCCTCCTGCGGTTCCTGCCCGAGACATTTTTATCGCGAGAAGGGTACAGCAATCCCATAATAAAGTTTACAAATTTTATTTAATAACGAGCGTTGCAGCGCATCGCTTCCAACGGAGACCAGGACCTAATTAGCGAGAAAAAACTCACTCTGTCGGGCCTCGAACCCATGACCTGGCCCTTAGTTAGCAGGCTACGAAAGCTACCCACTAGACCACCGGGGCGCATATGTAAATAGCTCGATCACTGTTTTTGCTACACAGTAGTGTGGACTAGATGTCGAACGATGTCCACCTATTACGGCAGGCAACGACCATGACTGGATGGGATACCTCCTGCGATGCCGAGCCATTACTTTGTCTAGGATGAAAGCGACGCGCTGCTAAGCTCGTTGTTAGCAAACCATAATCGACTTCGCAAGTCGCGAGCGAAGGGATTGCTGTACCGTCCTCGCGAAAAATACCTCAGGCAGGAACCGCAGGAGGGGGTCCAGCCCCTCCTTCCTATGCTGTAGTACCCTGGTGTACGTTGTCCTTCGATTTTTTATATTTTTTTGTGGGAATATATATGTGTTTGTTTTTCGCCCCCCGTCTTGCTGCACCCCCTGGGGTGTGGTGCAGGGCGGGGGATGCCTGGTCGGCGGGAACCCGGCACGGAACCCTCCGGCGTTGTAGACGGGTGTGGGAAGCGTTCCCCGTTCTCCTTTTATTTTATTTTGATCGGTCTCCTCGACGCTCTTTCTCGTTTGTTGCGGTAGCTGGTCTTTCTTTCTATCATTTTGTTTCTCTTCCGAGTGGTTTTTGTACCCTATTTTTTTCTGTTTCTTCTTCGTGGGGTCGTGTATGCCGGGTTTTGAGACCACGGGCTCCCAATCTTTCTTTTTTAGAGCTAATGTGAGAAACAACAACAACAACAACAACAACAACAACCTGCGCTTTGACGTTCACGATTGATTGGTATTTACCCCGTCTTGCATTGATTGGTGAGTACCAGCGCTATTCGGAAGGATTGCGTTCAAGTCCGACTTTTTCCCGCTCGCGATTCCTTCCCCTATCCTTCTTTGCGTATCACATGTGTGTCATTGGTCGTTGTCGGCCTCCTCGATACTTGTGGATTACCTGTGGCAAATTCTGGGAATCCCTTCATTCCGAGAGAGCCATAGGCCTTTCTTTTTTTACATGCATTTTTCTTCTCGTGAAGTTTTGCCGTTGCGCTTGCCATCGTCGCTGAAGTCTTCAAACCTTCTTGGCCGGCCTTCAAGCTTCTTGTTGATAAGTCTCCGTGTTAAATTCTCCGCGCATGAGTCATATGCAGTTATGACCTGCGCTTAGACTTTCACCATGGGTATTTTACCTCCCCGTCTTGCATTCGTGAGTACCTGCGTTATAGGAAGGATCGTTCCACGACGCAAACGTCGACGTCTCCGTTTTTTTATATTCCCTTCGCACTCCTTCCTTGCCGCGGATTTTCACACCAACTTCGAACGTGGGGTGCAATTTCCTCTCTTCGTACCTCCCTCGTCGGACTTCTCCATCGTTATGTACTAAATGTATACCTCCATTTTTCGGCTTTTCGATTACCGATAGACAAGACTACGGAGTGGCATGTCCCTTTCACCCCCGACCGGACCGCGAGCTCGTCGAGTGCGGGAATTCTTCACCACTTCCTTGCCTCTCCCAACACCGCCCCTTCTTCCCGCCCCTACAAATCATCTCCCCTTCTTCTTCTTCTTTCCTTCCTCCCGGACTCTCACCACCATCCGTTCTGGATGTTGGCCCCCAGCCCCATTGAGGGGCGGGGGGCAATACTTAAACCTAGTATTCCTATCTGAACGGTATGTGTCAGGTGAACACACCGTACCTGACGTAAAAAAAAATAGCATGCGGTGTCTGTCCAAACAGCATTGTGGATGACACCGTCTCATTCGCTACCGGTTTTGTTTGGAGTTGTGTCGTTTTTGCAAAACCGAGATGCGAGAAGTGACAGAGCGCGAATCTTATTCATAGGGTCGAGAGTTCGATCTTAGACCAGTTTAGTGTGGCGCCTTGTCTAGTTATGTGGGAGGCTGATCCACTCCTTCTCACGCCAGGCATCTGAAGCAGGCAGGCCAGAGAACTTTTCTGTGTGATATCGGACCGGAGCTCTTTCCTACGGATAGGTGCATTTTTGGTGCCAAGTAGCACCTGCTCCTCATAGTTTGTCTGACAGAACAGATGGATGCCCTTTCGTGTAGGCAAATAAACAACTCGTCGAACGATTCCTCGTTTGACACTCACAGCATTTTCTCGGACGAGGTTGGGGAGCTAGCGACACCCCTGTGACGATGTGGGCAAGCGTGCGGCGAATGGTCGGAGCCACCATGGTTTCAATGCTCACGGTAAGTGCAAACGGATGGCATTTATAGCACTTACGGTTTGAAATAATGATGTGCGAGATATCGCCGCCGTCGCTTGTGTCATGAGTGCTTGAGTGTATGACCACGATGTTTGTGTCTGTTTTTCGTTGCATTCGTAGAGTTCTCCTCATGCTTTGCGATGTCTCCTTTCCAACGGTAAAGTGGGAACGCATACGACAGTCAGCTCGGTCTGGTCTACGTTTGTTTGCATACCATATACCACAAGGCAATGACAAACGTTGAAGGCAGGCAGGACGCACACGGTGTTTTTCGTACGTCGTAGTTGTTATTTCGTCTACTTGTATATCAATGGACTCGACAATTCTCTTCCTCAGGCGGGCACGGGGCTGCACATGGAAAGTGTCACGGCAAATGGAGGCGTCATTGATGTTCGACACGGAGTAGTGGTGCAGGTGTGTATGGAAGCAGTCTACCCCCCACCCTTTTGCGCCTGAAACAAAGTTCCGCGTACCGCATGTCCACTGATAGATGGCGGATGTCTCTCCTCTTTCTCATCGCCTTGCTGATTCTTGGCAACAATGATATATTGCTTCGCTGCCTGTAGCGCACTTACACACACGGAGTAAAAGTAATGGTTCAAGGGGGTGTTGGTCCCCCCTGTAAATCATATTTGTGTTCCCTAGCTCATGTCATAGAACGCACATGATTCTCGCTTTCTGCCTGCAGATCGATGTCATGGTCGGTGGTGGCGATAACACCACCACCGACCATCCGTCATTTTGTTCCGTTGCGTGAGCGCTCATCTTCATAGATGTGCGGCCATGTGAACTGCGTTTGTGGTGTTCAGGGTCGGATCGCGAGGTTGCCCTCGTCGCATTCTTTGGCTCTTCTACCGATGAGCTCTCCAAGCCGTGTCAGCCCATTCAAGCTTCCAGAGCAAGCTTGCACACCAGCTACAGAATCGGCGGAGGGAAACATCCAATCCTTGTCCTCTTGTCCAACCATGTTCTTGCAATTTGAACCGCGAAGGATTCGCGTTGCTCTGCGCCAGTCAGTCGTGGTTCCGTACCTCTGCTCCTTCAGTAGTTTCTGACTCGTGAATGTTGGCGAGCTCCCCGTTCCGGTGTTCACGAGAATTTTTCCTCCAAGAATGTTCCCAACCATGTCCCGGAAGCACATAGCATCACCACCCGTCGGCCGTAACTGTCACGTTGGAGGTGCACATACACCTAAAATTGGTCAGTAGGAGTGCTTTCCTCGTCGAGTTGTACGCTGCCTCTACTTGAATCATTCCCGGAAACATCTCGTTTCACGTGGTGAACATGTGCCTTTCGTTCGGCACCCCTGTCTTGCATCTTGGGGTCATACGCGAAACGAGCAGGACAGGGGATGCCCGCAAGCCATATCGCCGGACGAGGCAGATATCAGGAGGTCGACCCGGGGCTGGCCGGGCGGTGTCCTGACGCTCAGTTCCATCGAAAGGATAGGTGAGCCTTGCCGGCTGAGTCTCACACTTCCTGGTGATGAATGCGTTCCTGTGTTGTTGCCGGAAACTACTCTCCTGCAAGCTGGTTGAAAGGTAAACTACGCGGGGTGCAGTAAGCACGTTCTGGACGTTACTTTGGGGCACTGGGTAGTCGGCCGTGTAAGGCCGAGAGAGAGAGGTTGAGAGAGAGTTGTAGAGAGTGTGGGAGAAGGAAACTTGATTGGAGACAGAGAGAGAAGAAGCGCGCAGCACGCACGCAAGCCTCATCATCGCACCGACCACGCCCAAAGGGTCCCCGTGACTGCGCCGGTGGTACCCTTCAACACACGAAATTCACAACACGTATCCTCCTGGGATCCTCACTACCAGATACTGCTGCGAGTATATCTAATACTGGTTGAGTGAGGACCAATACAGCTTATCCGCGAGTGACACTTGCTGGTGCTCTTGTTCTACTCCTGTCTTGAGCGTAACTGGGGTTGACGGAAGACGGTGCTCCAGGTTGAGGCTCAGAGTTGTCTTTGTTGATCGAACCAATGACCCGAAAAATTGTTCTATACGTCAGCAATAAGACAAATCCCTTTGCACGTAAGTGTGAAGATTGTGCCGGTCCTTCCCTTTCAAGCAATTGTCCATGACTTGGTATTGAGGGCCAGTGCAAACGACGTTCGGAAAAATGCAAATGAAAGTCAAGGTCGATCTGCATGTGGTTGAACACCGAAGAACAGGCTTCTCTGGGTTCTGATACAGCCGGTGGAACGATTTGTTCAAAGCTAGGAAATAGATATCCCATGCAAGTAAGACGCGGAGCCGTATATTTTTTCCCGACCGAAAGAGGCTTTTTATCCAATTGCGTTGTATTTTGTGGAACATTGTTTCTATGCGATGTAACTTGTGTCGCATCGTTTGTCCAGGTTATCTTCCCCTGCTGTTTTACGTCATTGCTCGGCTTGTCGTAATACGAGAACGATTGTTGATTGTACCGTGGTATGTTCTCCCTCAGGTCGGTCGGGGAACCATTACATGGCGATATCAACCTTGTTCTCCATGGCCTTCTGCTGCCAAGTGAAAGTGGTAAGACTAAGTTGACACGCCGATCGTGACGATTGCGGACTGTACATCCCTGATTGGATGAACAGATATTGGTGTGAACAATCTCCCTCCGGCATGGCTATTCCCTGCCGCAAGCGTTACAGGAGAATCGAATTGCTATGTTCGACCGAATATCTTCTTTTTGATGCCGAAAACGAAGTATGAAACACGATGGGGCTTACGATGGGGTTGAACCCACTCTTGATGGTAAAGGCCTTGCGTCCTGGGTCAAAACAAGCAACGCTGCGCACAACTGTGCTACACAGAGATCGGTTCGTTCAAGGGGAGACGGGAGATTTAGGCACTTGGTGAAGGTAGACCATCTCTCACCTTGCCTCAGGCACCGCTAAACATTGTCTAAGCACTTGTGTCTGAATGCAGTATGCATGCATCTCCTGACCAAATATGTCTCGAGATGAACCCGCTGCCTTTCACATCACCTCCGTTCTGTCTTTGGTGCTCGTTTCCAGCTGGAGTTACCCGACATGGACTGGCGCTTGCCCACAGAGAGCGGGGAGAGGTTCAAGTCTTCCACGAACCTGTTCAGCTTCTCCCAGAGACATACCAATCGTGCTCCCCCGCAATACATAAACGGTTCCCTGCCGACGGATTTCGAAGGTCTTCAGGGCCGGCTTGATGTCTGTCCGCACGAGAGGCTCATCGACGGAACACATGCGAACCATATCCGAGGTAAAACTCATTTTGTTATCACCGTGCCAGGCAGGCTTTGTGAAGGACTGCTGTGCAAGACAACCGCTTGTGGCATATGCATGGACTAATCCCTACATAGCATTCCTTGGTTACAGCCAAAAATGGATCATTTGCCGTTCATGTCCGCTCGGTGACGAGTCACTTGCAGAATATTATCAAACTACTCCACGGATTCAGGCTCCTAACCAAAATATCTTCTAGGAAGCCTAGCAGCACAAACGCAAAAACCGCCGTGTATGCTAATCTATTTCACAGGTAGCCAATAGAATGCTGGGGGGCCAAAAGTGTACGCACATCATTACTCCTGAGCGAGATATCATCCAGTCAAGCATGAACAACTCCATCGATATTCCGACTCGTACTTACGCTGAGAGGATCAGTACCGTGTCCGACCAGGCGGATTGGTGTGGTTAGCCTACGTTGTTGGTAGCTGAATTGCGGGAGGTTTGCGAAGCAAACACCCATGTTTGCGTGCCTACTGTGTGTGATGATGTACTACGTTTCACTACAAACGCTGGTACTTTGCCCTGCATCACTCACCGGCAGCTCAAGTAGTTGGACGTTCGTTGGGTGTAGTACACATGGTGATTTGTGCAGAGGGTTGGAACTATGCTCTCTTGTTCAGCCATTTTACATCCCCTCTAGTCGTTTCGTGGCATGTGTTTGATGGATACCTGATGTGATTCTCGGCGTGCACGCCTGGAGGGGAACCTCCGAACATTGCACAGCGTCCCCAACTTTCAGCGCTCAAGGTGCATGTTTGTCGTCAACAATTGTTCTTCGTGCCCGACAATGTCGTTTGGTCTTGCAGGGCTTCATCCACACCTTCAGAAATGCATGAGAAATGTGAAGATGAGAGGTTGCGAAGCTGCCTATCTCAAGGAATCGCTCGGTGGTGAACATGCTTGCCCAAGCCCGCAACGCCAACTCGCCGAGCGCGAGGACGAATCCGCTCAACTGGTTGCCGGGACAACCTCGCCCCTCGAAAGGCGGGGGGCGGGATCTCTCGTTGTTCACGTTCGATCCGGGGATATTTTCAAGCCGGGCACGATATATCATCAATACGGGCAGGTGAGGTGGAACTGGCAGGCAAAAGGGTGCGATTGTTTCTTTTCAAAGTTCACAATGTGCATGACACGCACGCTCCAAGCAAGACCGAGTGGATGCCGCGAGGCACGTGTGTCTTCGTGGTACATATCAGAACTGGCTTGGGAGCCCAACATACCTAGCCAGCGGAACCGGTATTGAGACGTTCCAAATCTCCCCACCAAAGGTCCCCGAATTCCTGGGTAATTCTGTCTCCAGTGTCGCCCGCAGTAGAGGGTTTCTGAAGAGATGAAGGTTGTCTAGGAACACAAAGACCCCATGCCAGGTGCTCTAAGCGAACATTGGTTACCCTTTAATGGGATATTCTTGCGTTCGGGTGCGCACGAGTATATTGTTGCAGGATACATATGCGTGACGCAACGAAATACAACTCTTTTCACAGTACTGTATCTCTCTCAGCACCTACGCTATCTTGCAGTTGTTGTTGTTTTGTTGTTGTTGTTTTTCTCCCATCATTGGACTCTGTCGTCTGCCCCTCTGGCCCCTAACCTCCACTTCTACCAGCTAGACGACCCAACCGGGGTCACATAGGAGGGGGAGGGTTGGACCCCCTCCTGCGATTCTTGCCTGAGATATTTTCATCACGAGAAGGGTACAGCAATCCCTTCCCTCGCGGCTTATGGTCGATCAAGTTTACTAACAACGAAGTTTGCAGCGCATCGCTTCCAACGGAGACCAGGATTTAATTTGCCAGACAAAGCTCACTCTGTCGGGACTCGAACCCATGACCTGGCCCTTAGCAGGCTGCGAAGCTACCCACTAGACCACCGGGGCGATCTTGCAGTGTATAATGGTGTGGTAAATATGGACAAATACGCTTTCTAAACGTGTTTCGTCCCAGTACCAACAAAATAGGGCAGTCTGTGGTTCTGGCCCTCTCTTGTTTTCTCTTCAACACATGACCACACGTGGTTGAGAATGCTCCAATGCGTTGTACAGGTCTACCCACAGCTACGCTCCCAGCTGGTGGTTTCGATGAAGTACGCATTTTACGTGCATGGCAGCGTCATGGGCTGCACAGAAGTTCAACCCTACCGTCCCATCTCACCATGCCCTCGACTCTGGAGCAACGCCTGCGACAACGAAACCGATGACACAGCGTGCCCTCACAACACCGTGGCCCCTCCTCCCTTGTCCCACGTTTCGGTTTCCCGTTCCCGGCGTCGTCAATCCTTTTCGTTCAACATCAAACGCCGTGTAACCGGTCCTCGTGAAGCCACCTTTGCTCTATTATCTTGCTGTCATCGCCAGCAAGCCGTGGAACAAAATGTCTTTTGTTACAAGCGGAGAAGATGACCTGCTCAACCCTGCGTATAGGGTAATTGAAGGGATCAACAGCCAAGGACTTCTCGGGACGAACGTGGAAATGCACAAGGTGGGTTGAGGCCATGCTGGGCGATCGCTACGAAACCTCGGGGTGTACATATCTCCCAAAAAATGCTGTGGTTTGCGAAACACACACACAATCTCATTTGTTCTCCGGTCGCACAACTCAATAAATTTGTTTACACGTGAATGCATTTATGCACACGATTCGAGGCCACTTCATGCCACGAGCGATGATCCCCCCCGTCAAGAGAATAACGACCGTATCTCCCGCTTGTCGAAGCCGGCCTTTCATCTCCGCGCAGATGCGTTGTGTCCCGCCTAACGACGTGTGTCTCTTGTTGCAACATGGTTCCCGAAAAAGGATCGACCACTCTGGGAAGATCTGCAGGCGATGCTGTGCGCGGACAGCCTGGCCCTATCACACTCAACCTTCACAAATCTCCTGCTGGCGCACTCGAGGGCCAAGCGATTCTTCCTGCCGTGGGGGTGTGAACCCCAAGTGGGGGACACGACGCTCAACCACTTCGCGAACGCCACAATGATTTGTCTCCAAAGGTCTGAGGTCGAGGTGAGAATACCGCTGGCGGGTGATTAAATGTTGGTGTACTGTCCAAAAAGGTCTCGGGGTGTTCTCGGTTCCAGCAGAAATGCCGCTTCGCTTTGGACGAGGAGGGTCGTCTCAGGTAGCGTAGCATTGGCACCCACGAGGCAAAGTACAACGGCATACGTTGGGGACCTCTGCCGACGTTCATAACTTGGCATCGGTGACCAAAGGGTAGGGCGACGACTGTCAGTGCGCACGGTTGCCAGCGCTTTCGAAGTGGAAGCTCCATTCAAGAGGAAAAGGAGCTACTGCATAAGTTGATCGTTTCCTGCCTTCAGTGAGTCACACCACACCTGTTCAAAGAGGTTGAAACGAAAGAGGGGCAGTGCGCAGGATGTAGTTCATGCTCGAAGCGACTCGGCGGCTAGAGCATAACGGCGGTGTCCAGGAACGTCTCCACTGAGATAATCGAATTCCTCACCGGGAGGAAAACCCCACGATCGTCGTGGAGAGGTTTCAGGGATGTCGCGAGAATTGCTTGCGATTCACATTTGTCGCTTTGTATTCGGGGTGTGCCCGCTTTTGAGAAGTACCGTCTCGTACCCTCGGGTTTCGTTATCTGACTTTGCTGCACTCTGGTGAGCAATGATCGACATTGGGAATGTCGACCGGCCTTGGGCTTCATCGTTGTGGGTACGACAAAAGGTCAGCGCGCGAGGTTTAGAATTGGAGAAAATGTCAACAGGAATGAGAAATGCAACTACGATACGAGTTTTACGTTTCCTTTTCCCGCCGTCTGCAGCTCACATGTCGCAATTGCTGGCTTTTTTTTTTGGTGAGCAATGTGTAGGTGTTGCCGATGCCGACTCAAGTGTATTGAGGTTGCCGACTTGAAAAGCCGAATCGCTGTTCTGTTCCTGTTTTTTGGGGTATTAGACTTGGAAGAGGGTGCCTTTGGGGTGGTTGTTCTCTCGGATAATTTACGGAAGCAGGGTTCTCTGATTTGTGTCAATTCTTTCATGATTATACCTTGTAACAGGCATCCTACGTTCCATCGTGCAGTGGATATCACGGTCAGAAGGGAATGAGCAAGTTCGTGCACGACGTCATTTCTCTGCATGCGGGGCATGTAGTCTACTCGAGATCGGTGTCGAAATTCCGCACTGACGACCACCTCCCTAAACCGACTCCTTGACGCGTTACCGTAGAGACATACATGAGTCTACTCTCCTCGATATCATCTCAACGCCGCCCCGTGCACATCCCTGCCTTCTCCATTTTTTTTTGTCCGTTGTGCCCGAGGATAGGTGTATGGGATTGAGTGGCGGACTACAAGCGAGGCATACACGGTGTATGACTCCTGGGATCCATCCTCAAACCTCCTTGAGATGGTTGTTTCGGACTCTGTCAAAGGCATGCAGAGATGTTGTTAACCGGGGGCAGGCGAACTCGCATCTTTGTGCTTGAAGCATGCTTTAACATTACTGTAGGCAGGAGGCACCACGTTCTTGGGCGAGGTTGAAAACGGGCGGCTCGTGTATCGTGGGTGCACGTGTACGTTGGGCCTTATATGTCGATTCAACAAGCCAGTAACCATTCCTTCAGTGGTCAATACGGGTATTGTACCCTTATGTACATCTGGGGTGGTAGGCAAAATATCAATATTGTAGTACTAGGTTGGCCGCGCGCCCACCCCGACTGGGCGGAACGGCCATCGTGTAGAATTATTCATCAACTGCATGAACATGTATATTTTTTTAACGTTGTTCTTGAATGAAAATGAGCTCGAGGCGGCAGAGCAATTTGACCATGCATTTGTTTCCGCACGCGAGGTGGGGGCACTCGGCAATTGAACACGAGAAGAAAACAGGGAAGATGCGTTTTTTCAAATGAACGGCCTTCGGAGGACGTTATGACCAAGCAGTGGCGAGCGTGGTCGCTGTTCGGAATTGACGAGGAGAATAATAGACAAACCTTTGCTTCATGGACCATTCGAACTGGCATGACGGTGGTATGATATCGTGTAACGTATCTCGGAAGTACGCCACCCCCCGAATGAGAGAACGGGAGAGTTGTTCGAACACTCTGTTGAAGCTCCCGTTCACACGGGGAGCTTGCGAGTGCTACAGAGACCAGCATAGAGACAAGGGACGAGTAGGACACATCAAGGCTTCTAGCGGTTTGCCAGCTTGAGGAGCCGAAAATCGTCGAGTAGTTTTCCCAGACATTCAGTAACCGGCAGATGATGCAGTTTTCGGCTAAGAAAATGGCATGGTACCATTTTGGGGACTTGGCATTCCCTCGGGTGAAGAAAAGGGCAGTTCGAAAGAACACGAAAGGACTAGAGCGGAACTAGATTCTTGCTCGCAAATTGACTTTATTGTGAAACGGAGACATAGACTACATGGAAACACCTGGTAACTGATGTTGGCAATCTGTACTCATTTTGACTGCGTCATTGTCCCTGGACGTGTGTTATTGAATATGGTGAGTCAGTCGGGTTCTGGGGTTTCATTAGCAGAAGAGGTTGCCTGAATAAGCTTTGTTGTTTTGACTCGCTCGCTGTCGCAAGTCAGATTGACACGTGCGTTTGGATATGAGGTCAATGAGGGACACACAGTGGCCTGAGCCTGCTTTGGGGGTCCCGCGGAATAGGAGGTAGCAATTTAGTTGGCCAGTTCCGTCGAATCTCGGGACCATGTCTATAGTGAAACAAATTCTTACGTTGTCAGAATTCTACCGTATGCCGTGGGCCCGCTACATCATATGCCATCGTGACGCACTGTCGACGAACACGATCAAAGGTATGTGGAATCATCAAGAGTTCGATATGGCCCGGTGAGATTATGTGCACCTTGCCGAACCGTACCGCCGCGCGATGAATTCCACGCCAAGGTGAAAGCCCTCTCCCACCCCTTTGCCTCTAACCGGCCTGCACATGCCTGCGAAACCACCGTCAACTAGCTCTCTACTGGTAGGCAGTTTCTCTGCAGAAACTATTCTTATGGCTGGTTTAAGCGAATAAGAGGTTACAGTAACTCTGCGTACAGATTTTGAGTTTCCCTACGCAGAAATGTCCTGCATTGGGTCGAATGACGCTTGCAAAAACAACGGCGGCAAACAAAGTAATCAACGAATAACATGAAATCGAAGGGACGGCTGGAAGCAGTTAGTCCCACTTGTCATGTGGCGACAACACCACCACCAACCACGAGTCGTAGCGACAACGATGATACTGTAGACTAGTACAACAAAACTAAACAAAACCAAGCAGCAGCTTCACACTGCCGTGGACTAACGAAAATCTAAGAAAACGTATTTCGCATATCAAAACCGCGCCCAGAATCTAGGCTACATGAACTGGCACCAGGTTCTGAACCACACTTGCTGCGCCACCACGTAGACCTGCTAAACAGAAACCTGTCAGGAGTTAGGGCTGTAGCTTTGGCAATGGATGGCACAATCGACACAAATTTGCATACTAGAATATTACTTGAAGCCGTGCCGCCAGTTGCTGGCAAACGTGGCCTAGTGGTGATCACCTAGAGTATGACAAGAATGCACGGTACAAACCAAATCCCACAGCCGTAGCTGGCACAAACAAACTACTGTATCCACCTTAACATACGTGTGTATATGAACATCGAGCCATTTTTCGTCACATGGAACAGAGCAGCGAAGGCGCAGCTCGAAATGATACCTACGCGTCAACGTCTTGGCTACGGCGGAGAAGCGAGTCTGAGGTGCGTGCGTGTTCTACGCAAAACAAAAATCGATGGAACCGAAATCAAATGAAGTTCTACAATTCATCACAAAAAAGACACAGCTTAGACTACTCATTTCCACGCCATACGACCGACTGATCATGCTTCTTGCCATCGAATCGTGTAGTCGTGCCTCATTTTCTACAAACCCGCGTTCTCCAGATAGTCTAGTCCACACTCGATTTGGGTCATTGCTCTGTAGACGCGACACGTGTTCTTGCAACAGCTGTCGGTGCTCAATTGGGCGAACCCGTTGTAGCGGTAGTTGTCGGCGGGGGCTTCGTGGGCGCTGGTGTCGGTGAGGGTGCTAATGACGCATGAGTAGGCGGTGACGTCCTGGAAGCTGAAGACGGTGCTGCTGTTGCGGTCGAAGGCGACGCGGTCGAGGATGTTGTGAGCGGTGACGTCGGGGAGGCTGACGACGGCGCAGCAAGTGTTATTGAAGGCGCCGCAGTAGAAAGGGATGATGTCGGCAGTGGTATTGGAGGGGAGGACCCGGTCACAGGGGATATGGTGGGGAGCGATGTCGGGGAGGCTGAAGACGTCGTCCGTGTTGTCGAGGGTCCTGGCGCTGAAGGAGATGCTGTTGGCGCTAGTGTTCGTGGGGCTTCTGTCAGAGCGGATGCTGGAGGCAGTGACGTGAGGAACGCTGACGACAACGATGAAGCTGACGGCGATGCCGTTGGCGCCGTTGTCGAAGCGGTACCGGTAGGCAATGCCACCCCCGACCTTAGCGTTGGTAGGAGCCATTGTTGAAGTAGAGATCATTAGCTATAGCCGCGTCTGGGAGAGGGTCTGCGCCACCACAGCCGCATCGAGTGAAATAATGCACGGGGCCGTTTGGGCGTCAGCGCAGTTTTCGCCGTGGGAAGATGGGCCAGATCGCCTCCCATAACGACACCTTTGCAGAATGAGCCCTAATGGTACTACCAGCAACAGCTGTCGAGAGTTCGCTTCATTTGGCTGACGTTGAAACAACACCAAAGGAATACACCAAAGGAAGTGAAGTCTAGGTTTATGGGGAAAAAACCGCTGGTATCATCTTGTTGCAGCACACACAGGCAGGCAAGCTCAGCATTCTCTGCACTATACCCTTCACCAAGCAGGTGCAAGTATCAATGGGACCTGGCACTGAGTGACAACACCTCTGAGGACTCATTAAAGAAGAAATGGCGACCCATGGAGGACATGGGGGATCGCTTGTCGACACTCAAGTGCTGCAGTATTTCGCGCAGAATCAAACGAGTTATCACGGAATCCTGGACTGCATTGTCTCACCGGGGCGGCTGCCGATGGAGCATGGGGCTGTTGGAAACTCCGTGGCTTCTGGGAAAATATGTTCTATTATTGAGACCTTGGCTTGGGAGACAAGTTGGCAAGTGGAGCAAGCGTGGTGGGCGTGCACAGCACCCCAGCAGCATTACGCTAAGCCATCCACAAAACACGAAACTCACGCCAATTTCCGATCCGACATACCGAGAACATTCCAGGCATCCCAGGAACATCTCTACAAAACGACAGTCAGTCCCGTTAGGAACGTTCCTACAAAACGACAGTCCCGATATTTGAACTGCCCTATCAGTGTTCTACATTAGACTATTCTGTCGACACACAGCAGCAACTATCACGAACACCCTCTCTTGGGGCTGTTGTCTCGACCAGATCACATGTGTGTCAGCAAAACAAAAACAAAAATACCAAAACACGACTCAGACGTCTACTTCTCAGATCTCGAGCCTAGAGCAAAATTACGATGAACTTCAAAACGATCTCTCGGCAGAGCCTTCGCCAGGATGTCCGCATGCTATCCTTCGCTGTAGAAACATGCCTGATTTCCAACACTCCCCCCTCTGTTAAATTTCTAAGAAAGTGGTGCCCCACGTCAACGTGCTTACTGTTACACGAACTAAGTGGATTATCAGCAAGTGCAATCGCACCCTCGTTGTCCTCTCGTACCTGAATCTGACCAATTCAATCACTAGGCCTCAAGAACTCGAGCATTCCGTTGACAAACAGAGCCTCTTTTACACCGTCACCCATCGCAACACACTCCGCTTCAGTTGTCGCCAGTGTGACACATTTCTGCGTCCTACAAATCCACAA